AATCACCAGTATGGCAAAAGACTTGAATTATATTGTCAGTCTAGTAATTGGTTCTCTAAGAAACCGTTTGGTGTGTGTGTTTTGCTCAAAGTAGACCATGGTTAAGGTATTTTTAAATAAATTTTATTATAATATAAACTATATGTGAGATATATATTAGCACTAGTGGGGTTTGAACTCAGAACCTTGCACTTGCTAAGCAAGTGCTCTACCATTTGAACCTTGTCCCAACCCTTATGGTATGTTTTAAGTTGGCATTTTGCCAGGTCCCCTGGACTCTGAGGATACTAGCAAAGTGAAAATCACTGAGCAATGGAGCTGGAAACTTCTAGCATATTCACTAAGCTACAGTCTCACAAGTTTTGGAAGATAGAGTGATCCACCTCTCCCATGAGGGCAGCTTTCTGATCTCGAGCTGCAGAGTTGGGCTAGATTGACTAAGTCACTGCAGATGTTTACAAACAGCAGAAGGCAAATAGAACATTTCTTTTCACTCATCCTCTGGGACAGATTAGGAGTCATGGATCCCTTCCAGAATGGAATGGATTTCAATGGGCTTCACGCCCTGATGATTTCTTGTTGCAGGTTTTTGTTGTTTGTTTGTTGGGTGTAACCCTGCCCTGGAGGAAGAACAGAATTCTCCAGAAAGCTTCTGTGAGGAAGTCTAGCCTGTGGCTAGCAGTGGGGAAAGTTGTTTGCCAACAAATGAGTGGTTGGCAGGTAAAGTGACTCCTTCCTTCCCAAATACACTCTAGATGTGCTGGTGCAGGGAGAGCCACACTCAAGGTTTAGCTCTTTTCTGGATTGCTTCCCCCACAGTTTCAGCCAATCAATTTATCTGATTGAAGTGTCTTTTGATCTTTAAGGTGTCATCTTTGGCACTAATATGGCTAGAAAGGACCCAGAAGTTCATGACTGTGGGCTTCTGAGTGTTTGCCCAACTGAGCATTTGTCTAAGTAAGTGTCAAACTATTCCTGAGAATCCCTAAGCACTAGGGACCCTTTGTGGAACCCTTCAGAGCATCTTCTGCTTCCTCCTGGCGCACTTTGAACCCTTCTAGGCTGGAACTGAAGATTCTTAGAATTCTATGCCTAGCCTGACTTTCCAGCCATATTGTTCTTTTTTTTTTTTTTTTTGCTGGATGTGGGGCCTGAACTGTGGGCCTGGGTGCTGTCCCTCAGCTCTTCAGCTCAAGGCTAGCGCTCTACCACTTGAGCCACAGCGCTACTTCCAGCTTTTTCTGCTTATGTGGTGCTGAGGAATCGAACCCAGGACCTCATGCATGCAAGGCAAGCGCTCTGCCACTGAGCCACCTTCCCAGCCCAGCCATATTGTTCTTTACCACCAGCTGCTCCTGTTTCATAGCTATATTTCAAGTTATATGGCCTCCTCCACTCAGCTGTGTTCCCCTGAGGAGAAAACTGATAGAAGAAGGTGGGGAGAGAAAGAGGTGACAGATAGATAATGGGTGGATAGATGAATGAATGAATAGATGGATGGTATATAGACAATATATAGATGGATGGATGGATAGATAATGGATGAGTGGGTAGATAGATGATGGATGGTTGGGTGGGTGGGTAAATAGATGATGGATGGATGGATGGATGGGTAGATAGATGATGGGTGGATAGCCCTATCCTTTGCTTCATGCAGATTCTTCCTCTAATGTGCTTTTTACCAGAACCCCAAAGGGCCTTTATTTCCTCTGAACTTTCCTAGTTGATTTAACATGATCAGACATTACCCACAGAGTCAGTTGTCTCTGCTAGATAACTCTTGTACTCCTCAGCTTCATCCTGAGTTGCCTTTTAGATAAGGACCATGTGCATCTCTCTGTAGGCCCTACCATACTTTCCATATGACAGAATGGACTCTGAATGCCCTCACCTTGTTGACCATGAAGAGGTGTTGGAGGATGAACAAGGCCAAATCCACCGTGCTGGAAATGAAGGTGGCATGGTGAAATTCACTGAAAGCTATGGAATTGAGGGGGATAACGGGGATGGGGGGAGAGAGATGAAGAGAAGGGTCAATCTGATTCAGATGCTGAATTGTAGATGCCTGTGTAAAATACCACAGTGAAACCTCTTTGAACAATTAGCACACAAACTAGTAAGAATAAAGGATAAGAATGTCAAACAGGCTGGGCGCTGGTGGCTCACACCTGTAATCCTAGCTACTCAGGAGGCTGAGATCTGAGGATCGCGGTTCAAAGCCAGCCCGGGCAGGAAAGACCGTGAGACTCCTATCTCCAATAAACCACCAGAAAACCGGAAGTGGTGCTGTAGCTCAAGTGGTAGAGCGCTCGCCTTGAGCTGAAGAGCTGAGGGACAGTGCCCAGGCCCAGAGTTCAAGCCCCACGACCGACAAAAAAAAAAAAAAAAAGAATGTCAAACAGATCCTGTCTGGAATTAGGGCCCTAGTGGAAAGAGAGATGGAAAACAGAGATGGTGAGTGTGAATATGGTCAGCTGACTTTATGTACAGGTACAAACACAGAACAGTGGAGTTTGTTGAGATTGGTTTGGGAAAGGGATGAAGGCGAATGATGGAAAGGGTGAATCTGATCAAGGCTCATTGTGCCTCTACCACCGTGTCAAAATGAAAGCTGTCCAGCTAATTGATTCTAATCTCCCTTGCCAGTTAGATTATAAAAATCCCAAGTACTTGTATATTTTGATTCGATTATAAGTTGAGCTTTTCCTTCTATTTGGTTGTTCAAACATCACCAGCCATAGTGCATTTGAAAAATACTCTTTCAGCTGGGCTCAGTGGCTTATACATGTCATCCTAGCTCCTTAGGAGGCTGAAGTTGAGAGGATTGTAACTGGAGGCTGGCTTGGTTAAAAGTTTGGGAGGAACCCCCCCCCCCATTTGAACCAATAAGAAGTACCTATCATCACAACTACATGAGAAGCATAAGTGTGAGAATGGAAGTTCAGGCCAACCAAGACCCTCTTAGAAAAATAACAAAAGCAGAAGGTTTGAGGACATTGTTCAGGTGGTAGATCACTTGCTTAGCAAGGACAGGGACATGAGTTCAAACCTCAACAACAACCCTCCCCTCAAAAGGTAAAAGCTTACCAAACATGGGATTACACCATTGTCATTCCAGACCTTGGGAAGCTGAGGCAGAGGAAACATGGGTTGATCCTGGGATACATAGCAAGACCTTAAATATATATATACATATATATATATATGTGTGTGTGTGTATATACATATATATATATATATATATATATTTTTTTTTTTTTTTTTAGTCGGTCGCGGCGCTTGAACTCTGGGCTTGGGCGCTGTCTCACAGCTCTTCAGCTCAAGGCGAGTGCTCTACCGCTTGAGCCACAACATCACTTCCGGTTTTCTAGTGGTTTATTGGAGATAAGAGTCTCACAGATGTTCCTGCATGGGCTGGCTTTGAACTGCAATCCTCATATCTCAACCTCCTGAGTAGCTAGGATTACAGGCATAAGCCACCAGCGCCCGGCATATTATTTTTTTAAGACAAGAAAATTCCCTTTCTAGAAGCAGTGACAATGGTACCAAACTTGCAGGTAATTCCTTATCACCACTTGGAACTATTGGCATGGTTTTCTCCAAGAAAGGTTTTCTTTCTTCCTTTTTCTCTCCTCTTCCTCTTTTTTTTCCTTTTCTTATTCCCTCCATCCCTCATTCCTTCCTTCACACTCTCCTTTCCTCCCTCTCTCCCTTCCTTATTTTCTTCCTTCTTCTGTCATATTTTTCCATTAATCTCTAAAAGACACTGCCTAGTGTTCAGTGGCCAATACCTATCTGCCCTTGCTTTCCTTGTGCAACATAATCACTGCTGACGGCCCAGGCTAGAGCTACAGATGACAAGCAGGGCTGGAGTTGAGCCGTGGCACCCAGCTTGGCATCCTGGGCTTTTGGATAGGCGAACAGAGATACCACAGCCACCCTCAAGTGGATGCCACTGGTGGTTCTAAACAGCCCTGTCCTGAAGGGATGTAGCAAGTGGCTGAGCTGAACATCAGAAGAATACTGATTAAAATAGGGGAAGGCTGGGACTGTGGCTTAGTGGTAGAGTGCTTGCCTAGCATGCATGAAGCCCTGAGTCAGTACCACACACACCAAAAGTCAGAAATGGCGCTGTGACAGAAATGTGCTAGCCTTGAGCAAAAGAAGCTCAGGGACAGTGCCCTGGCCCTGAGTTCAAGCCCAGGACTGGCGGAAAAAAAAAAAACTAGGGGGAAACTTTTGTTTTTGCTGCTGTTTTGTTGCTGTTTTTATCTGCTTTGGCTTTGCAGTGCTGGGGAATCAAACCTAGTGGCTGTGCATACTAGGCACTACCACTCAGCTACATCGCCAACTTAAATCTGGTTTCTTTAGTTTTGCTGGGGAAGAGAGGGGCGGTGATCTCCCAAACCTGAGCCCACTTGAGTCTGTGTACAAAACTTCCCATTCGTAGCAGACGCCACTTCGTGTGCTCTCAGTCATTTCCAAGCCTTGTCAAAAAGCCAAGATTATTGACTTACATCTTCGAGCGAGTCATTTCCAATGTGTGGTAAAAATGAAACAAAGAAACCCAGCGTTGAGCATTAGGGAGGCCCCACAGTGGTCAGGGGCACATGGTGATATTGCCCATTCCTGGGGGCCTGCCAGCCCAACTGCAGGGCCCTGGGGACCCCACGCCTCCCTGGATTCATGCCAGTGGCTGTTCAGGGTCCCTCGATCTGCCAGAGAGTTGAGACAGTGCCTTGGGTGGTCCTAGCACTGGGCTGGAGCTGGGAGAGGAGGCCTCTGGGCTCTGTGACATATGTTCTTCTCCATCTATATTAATAAATAAGATATTAATAAATTTAATAAACTATTAATAAAGATAGGCTCTCTTTCCTGCCTCTTCTGACGAAAGGCAGCAGGCCTCAGGACCTCAGATGAGGTAACCAGGCCAGGCCGTGTTAAGTCATGTGGTTATTTTTTCTGAGGGTGAGTAAGTTTCTTGGTCTTCTCTCTCTCAGCAATGAAGTGGTGAGGAGTGACCTGAAGAAGCTGCCAGCCCTTCCCACCCAAGCCCTGAAGGAGCACCCCTCTTTGGCCTACTGGTAAGACCCCTCAGAATCTCCCAGCAATCCCTCATCCCCAGGAAGTGCACTGGGTGCTGGTGGGACCTACCCAGTACTGGCTTTCATGGCTCTCACCAGCTCCACTATGTCTTCGGAGATCATTTTTGGTTGTTTGTTGTTTTTTTTTTAAGTGGTAATGTTGTGTGGAAGAATACCCCTTAAAAAAAAAAAAAAGGAAGGTTTCACTTCGGAAGCTTTGCCTGTTTGAGAACTTTCCCTGTGCTGGTAGAGCTCCACGTGGGAATTCTGTCATTCAGTGACAGGAAGAGGTGTGGGGAGCAATGTAGGGAGTGTTTTTTTCTTTGCCAAGAGAGAAATAGATTCTTTTCTTTCTCACTGGTGTTCTGTATCTCCTGAGTTTCTTCCTTTGTGACGTTATTCCATCTCTGGATCCCTGAATTACTGAGTGATTCAGACATTTGGAAAGTTCCAGATTGTGGCCTCAGCCACAGTGGCCCAGGGCTCAGATTTCTGGGCAGTGTGATGCAATCCTGCTGGACACATCGGGACTGACCACTGCCTTCTGACCAGGACAGGACTGCTTTCCCAGTGTTCCTTCTGACTCCTTCATGGAAATCCATGTAACTGCTCTGAAGATAAGACCCAAGTAAAACAATCACAGCCAGATGCCTATAATCCCAGAAACAAACAAACCCCACACAAGTTCATTGTAATAAGACACAACATGTCGCTGAGCAAGCACCTCTGCCTGCTTGTTCTAAAATATTTGGATCGCTAGAGTTTCGTCTCATCTGGACACTTCTGCTCAGATAGCTTTAACAGTTTCTTCTGCTAGGGTACACCACGCCTTGATGCAGAGTTCACTGGCTAGAGTTCACTCTAGCTCTACAATCAGTTCTTTCTGAGAGATCAGATTCACCAAGGGCTGGGTTCCCTGTCTAAGGCTGCCAGCTTCCATCGGTGTGCTGGTACCTCTAGCTGCAGTTCTGAATGACCTATCACTCTTCCTCTGGAAACACAGATGTGAATAAATAGCAGCTCAACCTTCTTTTTTATTGGCATAAGTTGTTTTGTACATAGTAATGATTTCAGCATACCATTTCCATACCTGCATATAATGTACATTGATCCTATTCAACCCTATTATTTTCTATATATATATCTATTATTTTCTATATATATCTATTATTTTCTTACCCTTCTTCCCTCTCCTTTTTTCTCTTCCCCTTCCATCTTCCTAACATACTTTTGTGACCTTGGTTGCTTTGTACTCTTGTCCCCTAGTCTCCACAAATATGATACTTGGCTTTGTGGGATTCATATAGTTCCCTTAACATGGTGATCTCCAGTTCCATCCATCCTCCACCAAGTGATTTTAGGTAACAGTTTTCGAGCATTATTATCTGTTCCGAAAGAACAGAGTCTGTTTAATCTGCAAGTGCATCATGTGTCCAAACTTCCAATCTTTGCAGTCTGGTCGTGAGAGCTCCCAACATAATGACATTCTGTTTCTTTGTTTATGAAACCCTCTGGCCTTCCTCCCAACTGCCCATGTTCCATGGGCCTTATCTTCTGGAACCCAGTGGTGAAGGACATAGGGATACATGAAGGAGACTGGAAAAAGGCAATTGCCATTGAGAGCTATAATGTTGCATTGTCTGGAGTCAGAAGTGCCCTTGGCTTCATCTCTCCCTCCATCCTCTCTCTGTGCATTTGTTTCCAAACACTATTTATTAAACTCTGATACACATTTCAGAGCTATCAACGCCTCTTGTTTGCTCACCCTCAGGACTCAGGGGTTTTTCTTGCATTGTCTGTACCAGCTGCTCCGTGCAAATTATTATAACACAGAAAGACCTTCCTTCAGGCGCATGCATCTGTTTTTGTCAACATGAACATCTTTGTCTGTAGCTAGACCTATACTGTCTTGATAGTATGTCCCTTCCCTTGATGACCAGGCTAGCATTTCTCCTGGGTCTCATTCAGACCCACCAGCACTTAGGCCATGATCTATATGCACTGAGAGTATAGTAGGACAAAAAAGCCATCTGCATAGAGCAGGTGAATCCATAGCATGGGCCATCTAAAAGGTACCAAAAAAAAAATCTCCCAATGGAGTCAGGTACTAGTGGCTTATGCCTGTCACCCTAGCTACTCAGGAGACTGAGCTCTGAGGATCTTGGCTTAGAGCCAGCCCAGGCAGACAAATCCAAGATACTCTTATCTCCAATTACCCACCAAAACAAGTTGAAAAATAATAAAAGATAAAAATGGAAGTGGGGGATAACCACATCTGTTCACTTCAGACTCCAGTTAAGACAGGAGATAAGCCCCCGTCTGTCACTGGAAAGCAGTACAAAGACAATAATGCTGAGCCATCCCGCACTCATCACCAAGTGTTTAATAGACCACATGGTTCTCCAGAGGAGATGACTGACACTGAAAGCCACAGTGATAAGCCTGGAGCCACAGAACAAAGCAAGATCAAAGTCCTGGCCTCCATTCTCCCTCCTGGGCCAGTCACCCCTACCACCTGCCTACAAAGATGTCATTCCTGACCAAAACCCTGACTGGTAGAGGCTGACAGCTCCTCCAAAATCAGGAGCCATGTCACCATTCCTATTTCCCTTCCCACCACCTGTGGTTTCCAGCATCCCCTTGGCTGTAGAGAGATGATTTAACTTCACATCACCGCCCAGCCCTTGGCCAGAGTTCATTCAGCCTGAATCCTGGGTGTCACACTGCCCTCCAGACAAATGTTTTGAGGTTTGGTTCACCATGATTCATGAGTTTCTCATGGTTGGTCCATGGGACCCTTACCACAGATCCACTAAATTGGATACAGTTTCCAATATAGTTTGCAGAAGAAGTTGCAGGGCTGAGGGCAGGGGGTGGTGCGGGGCAGGGGTGGGGGAGACAAGCAGGGAGTGGGATTAGTCCCTCGTCAGCATCATGTATGTTATCACATGGTAAACCCACAGTGTTTCTTGAGAGTCTCAACTACTTAGCTTGGGCTGTCCTAGAACTCCTGCCTCAGGCTCTCAAATGGTGAGATTACAGGCATGTGCCTCCCCCATAGATAGAAGAGAAGAGCCAGGAAAGCAGAGGCCAGAAGAAGTCACACTGTGGAAGCCTGTGGTCAGGCTGTTGCTGTAAGCAGAGGAACGGACACCTGACAATATTGCAGACATTCTCTCACGATGTTTTCCTGAGCCTTAAGTTCACCACTACCCTACTGCCTTGACTCATCACCCTACCTCCCTCTCAGAGACCTTCTTCCCCATAGCCAGAAAAGAAAGAAAAGCTTGTATTCACACTGAGTTGCTTGACCTCACCAAATCCCAGGTCACATGGTAGGGAAGACACCAACACAGCTGTTGGTGTATCAGATGGGTAAGGAGGAGACCAGAAGAGCAACCCTGAAGTTCCTGAAACAACTCCGGAAGGAGTTGTACTGAGGCTGGGGTTCCTCGAGAGAAAATGTCCCTCCAGGTTTGTGTGCTGGAAGCGAACCCTGTCACATTTCCAGTGTAGGAGCTGCGGGAATGTATAGTGGTCCCTTCCTGAACAGCAGGTCCACAGAAGTGAGCATTCCCCAGGTAGAAAAAGGTTCCTCCTCGTAGTGAGCCAGCATCCATCCTGGGAACCTAGAGGAACCTTTCCTGGTGATGAGTTCTAACCGTCCTGCATCAAATCTCAGGACACTGAAATGCAGTCATCATTGAAGATGAAGGTTGTAATTGAAAGAGAAACCGGTTTCCCTTGAGGATGACTCCAGGAGCATATAGAAAGATGACAGAGCTAGAAAGGAAAAACAGAACTAACTGAAGGAAAGAAGACTTCACACCCACTCATCATAGATAATATGGGTGAACAAATGGCATCTTAAAGGAATGCATCTAGGAGCAACACCACTCCCATCTTGGAGCTTTTCTGGGTGATTGAAAGGGTCCTTTTGGCTATAGTTGAAGAAAGACCATTTGGCCAGGCCTCATGGAGGCGGTGGTTTGGGGTGGGACCTGAGGTCTCCAGTCTGCACCTGTCCCCCAGTCCCCATGATTCCCAAGCAGCAGTGGGAGCAGCCATTGTTTCCAGCTCACTTCTCCAAGAAGGCAGTACCCAGGTTGCCCTCCACTGCCTCTTATCTGCCTGACTAGCCATTGACATCGAAGAACCAGCTAATAATCTCTAGTTGCTTTAGAACTAAGATTTCAAGAGGTGAAGGTACTGCCATCTCATCCTGGTAGCTGGTTTATGGTTTCCCTTAGGCTTTTGTTAACCAGGCCCAAATGACAGAACTTTCCTTCCTCCTTGGAAACACCAAATCTCAGACTCTTCAGAAAAGTGGGGTTGTGAACACTGATTAGAGTCAACCGCTCCTCCACCTCAGGCTGGAGTCCATGTAGCATAGAAGGGGAACAAAGAAATTTAAGCAAGGTGATGTCCTGTAGCCTCTACTTATAGCTTCTTCTCTCCTAGAAGTCCAAGATAAAGCTCTCTAGAGAGTGTGGGTTCTCTGAGGGGAAAAACCAGCCTAGTACCCCACTCAGAAAATCTATAGCTGGGCAGGCACTGATGGCTCACGTCTGTAATACTAGCTACTCAGGAGGCTGAGATCTGAAGATCACAGTTCAAGGGCAGCCTGGACAGTAAAGTCTGTGAGACTTTTCAATTACCATCAAAAAGCCAGAAGTGGAGCTGTGGCTCAAATGGTAGAACACTAGCCTTGAACACAAAAGCTCAGGGACAGTGCCTAGGCCCTGAGTTCAAGCACTAGGACAGACAAAAAAGACAAGAAAAGGAGGAGGGAAGAAAAGAAAAGTGGGTGAAGGAAGGAGAAAGGGGAGGAAGAGAGAGAGAGAGAGAAAAAGAGAGAGTCCATAGCCCAAAGATTTCACGTAGGCTGTTTGAAGACAAATCATTTTTCCCAGAGTGGATTGTTCCATGGAGCTTTTGATTGGATCCATCAAGCTTAGTAGATGCTTGGAAGCATCTCAGTCAGCAGGATGTTTGGCCTCTACTAACAGAATTCTTTTCTTTTGATTCCAGTGAAGACAGAGTCATTGAGCACTACAAGAAACTGAATGGACAGACGAGAGGTCAAGCAATTGTGAAGTAAGTGGTCCTTCCCAACACTTATGAAGAATATGTGTGAATGTGTATATGTGTGTGTATGTGTGTGTGTGTGTGTGTGAAAGAGATCATATGTAAGGTTGTTCTCTTCTGCTTAGAAAACAACTATCTGGGGAAAGGGAGTTTTTCAACAATTTTGCAAATAAATCATCACCCCCCCAGAACTTATCACACATACAAAAGAATAAGAATAAAAATAGCATGTCTCTGGTACCAGTTCTGCTGAAATAACCAGCCTTGTGTGCATTGTTTGTGTGTGTGTTGTGTGTTGTCTACAGCTACATGAGCATCGTGGAGTCTCTCCCGACCTATGGGGTTCATTATTATGCTGTGAAGGTAAGCGAACTCACTTGGAAAGTGACCTCCTGCCCTTAAAAAACTAAACAGTATAGCCGGGTGTCAGTGGCTCATGCCTGTAATCCTAGCTACTCAGGAGGCTGAGATCTGAGGATTGCAGTTCAAAGCCAACCCTGGCAGAAAAGTCCTTGAGACTCTTAACCAATTAACCACCAGAAAACCGGAAGTGGTGGTGTGGCTCAAGCAGTAGAGCACTCGCCTTGAACTGAAGAACGCAGGGAACAGCACTCAGGTCCAGAGTTCAAGCCCCACAACTGAAGGGGGGGGGGGGGGAAAGACTAAACAATACAACAACACAATTATGAAGTTTTTTTTTTCACCTTTTTTTTTTTCCTTTTTTGCCAATCCTGGTGCTTGAACTCAGGGCCAAGGCTCTGTCCCTGAGCTGTCTTTTGCTCAAGGCTAGCACTCTACCACTTGAGCCACCGCACCACTTCCAACTTTTTCTGTTTATGTGCTACTGAGGATTCGAACCCAGGGCTTCATGCATGCTATGCAAATACTCTGCCACTAAGCCACATTCCCAGCCCTGTTTTTCCTCCTTTTTAAACAAGGAGTAAGAAGCCAAGCACTGATGGCTCACACTTGTAATCCTAGCTATTTAGGAGACTGAGATCTGAAGATCATGGTTTGTAGCCAGCTCAGGGAGGAAAGTCCATAAGATTCTTATCCCCAGTTAACCACCAGAAAACCAGAAATGGTGCTGTGACTCAAAGTGGTAGAGAGCTAGCCTTGAGCAAAGAAGCTCAGGGACAGTGCCCAGGCTCTGAGTTCAAGCCCCACAACTGACCAAAAAAAAAAGAGTAAGCATAAGCTGGTCAGGAAGAATGCATGCTAGGGAGATCAGGCAACTGAATTTCCCCCTCAGGTACTGACACTTGATACAGTCACATACTGGAACTCAGTGCTTTCTTTTGTGAAATAGTAGAATAAATCCCTACATGCTTTCAGTCTCAGAGGAACCCTGGGAGATTGGGACTCTGGAGTATCTTGGTAGAAAGACTCTGGGCAATATAGGAAACTGTAGAACAGAACCTTCCAGCAGAATCTAGTACTTCTCTTGGTGGCCCAGTTCATGTATATAACTTCAAGAAGAGAACAGGCTGACAGATTGAATACATGACTATTTAAGCATCTACAGATGCTCACACCTGTAATTCTAGCTACTAGGGAAGCTGAGGTTGGGAGGATTGAGGTCTAAAGCTAGCCAGAAAGGAGTTGTGAGACGCCCTATTCAATCCGTAGCTGGGCACACCCCAAGCTACATGAGAGACTGAGAGTGGGAATACTATGGTTCTAAGCCTGTCCAGGCAGAAAAGTCCACAAGATTCCATCTACACAGAGAGAAGCTGGAAGCAGCAGAGCACACCTGTGATCCCAGCATCCAAGAGAAACCTAAAACAGACAGATTGCAGCTTAGGCACACACTTGTGTAGGAAGAATGACTGCCAGTGAGGTCAGGTGGCAGTGCTTCATGCCTATTATTCTAGCTATCCAAGAGCTAAGGGTAGAGGGAGCTAGACTCAAGGCTAGGCAGAAAAGCTCACAAGACTCTATCTCAAAAATGACCAGCCAAAACCAGGGCAGGAGGCATGGCTCAAATGGTAGAGCACCAGCCTAGCAAGCACAAGGCTTTGAGTTCAAATCCCAGTACTTCCAGAAAGGAAGGAAGAAAGGGAGAGAGGGAGGGGAAAAAGGATGGGAGCTATGTTTTTACATATTGTAATTGCAAGTCCAATGTGAAATTGGGCTTTTAATTCTAAATTCTCTTTAATTTCATGCATAGTGTACCAGTGTAAGATTTATCCTTTAAAGTATACCTCTGTGATCTCACAAGAAGGAAAGTTTCAGGGTGGTAAAGTGACAGCCAGCGAATGAAGGAAAGTGACAGATACTGAGCCCCAGTCCTGATCTCAGAAGAAAACAAAGCCAACAGTCTGGGAAGGTGGCTCAGTGGTAGAGTGCTTGCCTAGCATGCATGAAGCCTTGGGTTTGATTCCTCAGTACCACATAAACAGAAAAAGCTGGAAGTGGCGCTGTGGCCCAAGTGGTAGAGTGCTAGCCTTGAGCAAAAGAAGCTCAAGGACAGTGCCTTGGCCCTGAGTTCAAGCCCCAGGCCTGGCAAAAGAAAAAAAGAACCCCCCTCCCCCCCACAAAAAAGAAGGAAAATTTCCCTTGTTCTGACTTCATTTGCCCCTCAATAAAAAGATGAAGGAAGCCATTGCCCAAATTCCAGCCAAAAAGATACATTTGCCAGCCAACTATTCCAAGTATTGTTTCGTTTCCTTTCAGTTTGCTTCTTAATTTCTTTAGACTGAAACGTGCACCTGTTGCTTTCATTCTGTCTCCTCCGTGACAGCTCATGGAGTATTTTGTGTACCACTGGCATGCGCTGAATCGCCTATGTCGCACAGTGCTAAACAGCAGACTTTTGATGGCAAAGAATACGTTGTCTCGTGTTCTGTTCCATAGTCCCAGAACACAGTGTGGCACCTGGCACATAGTAGATGCTCAGTAAATATTTACTGAATGACTGTATATTGGGAAATGAGTCAAGGGATGGCATTGTGCGTTTCCAAAATGAAAACAAGGGTTGGAACTAGAGCTGTCAGCCTCCCATGGGGATCCAGTATCATCCAGCAGCTTAAATTCTTGCCTGGATGAGACTAAATTTTTCTTGATTTCCCACCAGAGTTGTTCTCACCAGTGAGAGCTCTTAATCTCTTTGGCCATTGTTCACAGAGTGTATTGCCGCCGTCACACCCACCCCAAGCTGTTTGTAGGCAGGGTCTAAAAGTAGGGTGATCTGGCCTTCTTTCCCAAATGAGGAAAGTGGGCTTCACCCTTGGCCACATTGTGCCCTGCGATGTAGCCACTGGAACCAATGAGCAATCATGTCCCCAACAGGAAATTCAAGTCTAGGTAAAAAGAAGCTCAGAATTTGCCAGGATTAATCATAGCTAGTGAGAACTATGGAGCCCATATTCCAGTTGCTGTAAAGGACCATATAGGTCTAACAGGTGATCCTGACAGGATACTAAAAGCATTTCATAGAAATCAAACCATGAGGAATTGTGGGAATGTTTAGGGGGGTGGAGGAATGTTTCTATTCTCTCTCACTCTCTCCCCTCCCTCCCTCCCCCCCTCCCCCCCCCCCTCTCATGTGGTACTGAGGAATTGAACCCAGGGCTTCATGCATGTTAGGCAAACACTCTACCACTAAGCCACATTCCCAGTCCCCTCTTATCACTAAAAGAGATTGAGAAATTTGCCTCCTCATGAAAGTTCCCCATGGAAGATCTTCTGGATAGCAAAGCCCTATTTGAGACACAGGAACCTTCCCTTTGATTTCTAAACTGGCTTCCATCTTTGGTCTGGCTCTAGAATGTAGCAGAAAGGCTGCCTCTTAACCTATATGGTTTGGTTTGGTTTTGGTTTTTGCATTCCACAAATAGTTTTCTATTTGTTAGACACCAAAAGCAGAGCTTATGATTTTTTTCAAAGGGCCCCAGGAGTGTTTTAAGTGATTAGCTCTTGAAATCGCAAAACATAAGCAATTGCTCTTCTATTTATTGGGAAAAGAGTGCTGGAGCACAAGAATAATCCATTTGAAACAAGCTCACTGATTGGCAGCCTTTCAACCTCACGAGTGCCCAATCATAGGGTAATGACAACACATCCCTGCAACATTGTGTTTTCTCTTGTTCTATTTCCTGAAATGAGTGCAGAAGACAGTCTACTTACAAAGACAGTGGTTGAGGACGAAGATTTTATACTGGTTTCAGATTTTGTAGCGTGGTGGGAGGGCAACACATGCTTGGTGTACGTGAGGCTCTGGGTTCAATCCTCAGCACCAACAAAAGCAAAGCAAAATTGGGGTGAAGATTGTACCAGGCTCGGGTGGTACAGCATCTGCCTAGCAAGCACAGGCCTTGAATTCAAATCCTAGAACCACAAAATAATATACCCTTTAAAGCTGCAAATCATTTCTCAAGGTTTATCTCATTTATCTTTGTACTTCATAGAAATAACTCATACTTCATAAATGTTTGAAAACCATCACAGAAATTCTGAAGTTTTAGGACACTCATCATCTGTGAGGTCTATCTGGTTATTCAGAGACCTGAAATTAGTGTAAATCTGTATTCATTTAACAAGAGTCCTTGTTAATGAACAGAGGGATTTGGTGTTTCTAATTCAGTCCTGAGAATGTTTTGAATTGTCCAATGACAAGAACTTTAAGATCCTGCCTGGCACCCAGCCGTCCCCATTTGAGGTGATTCCTTCCAGCCCATGCTACCATTGGCTGAGGGTAGCTGGGGAGGGCTTAACTTACCTTTAAGCAGGGCCAACTCACTGACCCCCATGGTCTCTGCGAGTACCTCTAGCTCTGACAAGTGAGTATCAGTTCTTTGCACAGAATGTCCTTCCTGTATTTTTTGGTTGCTCAATATCTTTCAAGTTTTCTTTTGTGATACATGAGAGGCCCAGACCAGAAAGCCTAAAGTCTTAGAAGGAAAAACTGGACTGGAGCACTTACTCCTAACCTCCAGGAGGAGAAGGGACGGGGAGGGACCAAGCCTGTGCTTCAGAGCTAATTCTCCAGTCCAGGTTTTGGTCCACGTCACTGTGTCTATATAGCTCAGCCCTCAATGGGCACACCTGTAGGCAGGTGGGCTCCATCCATCCCAAGGAAAGTGAACCACCCCTTGTCGTCAGCTGAGCCAGGAAATCCCTTGACCTATGTTTATCTCCTCTGATTTTTTACTTACCATCCCTCCTTTGGATATTGTAGGACAAGCAAGGGATACCATGGTGGCTGGGACTGAGCTACAAAGGAATCTTCCAGTACGACTACCATGATAAAGTGAAGCCCAGGAAGGTAAGGGTGATCTCCTCTGTGCTCTGAGTGGCTCACATTTTGAGAGGGGAACAAGTTGAAAATGGTAACACTGTGAAACCCAAGTGTTTGCCAGTCTCCCAGCTAAGCTATGTATTCAAATGACTCCATGGTAATCCTATCTTGAGTTTTTTGGGTAAATATTTTCTCTCATCTCTAAGGAAACTTTTAAGGTAAAATGCCTTGGGTCAGATCTCTCAGAACCGGTGGAACTGTGGAAGCCTATATACTCTGGGAAAATGAACTCTTGAAGCCTGAGGCCACTCCTGAAAGTTGGAGGAGGTCATAGGTCAAAAGGAAGTGAAGTAGAGAGTAAGAAGAGCTCCTGAAAATCTTGCAAAATAACTTTATGGTACAGAAGCGATGAGAGAGTAAAGTCATTTGCTAGAGGGCAAGGGAGGGTGAGAAGGGTCTTCAGTGTCATTGGAAATACAAAACAAAATGCATGATGGCGCGCCATCTTGGAATTTTCTGCTTTTCCTTTACCCAAACAGATTGGAAAATTGGAATGGAAAAATATCTTGGAGACCAGTGCTGTCATTCAGAATCTCTGGCAGAGAATGACAGAGCTGGTGTTCAGATCAAAACCTTGGAATATGTACCAAACAAAAAATCTATGAAAACCACTCTGGTGTTAGGAGAGAGAAAGTAGTAATAGTCCATGTGTCACCCCAGATTGCTTTCTAAGGGTCTTAATCTATGACTGAACTTGAAACCCACACTGCATATCTGAGCTTATTGTTCTCTGCCCGGTTAACACCTGTCTTTGGGGTGGGAAGGATTTTCACTCAGTGCATCCGTACATCGTTTAAGTTCTTAGTAAAGATCTTGAACAAATATGAAGGCATTATTTACTAGGAACAATTCAGCAGAAACCTGGTTCTTTGTGGGAATGGATAGTCTTATTTTTGTGGCTGTTTCCAAAACCTGTTTTCATTTTTAGAGGCAAGAAATGACGTGGACCCTGCGTTCTTCTTTTTCCTGTCTTCAGCTTTTGGAGTTGTGGGACCTGCCTATACTCCTTCCTATGGTCTTGCTTCCTGCTCCCTCTGTGCTTTTTCCCATGGATCCATCCTGATGATCTGTGCATTAGCTGCTAAGTTCTCTCTTCTCCTCTTGTTTTCAAAGACTCTTCTCTTTTTCCAGCTAGCTTGACTGATTATTCTGCTTACCCAAGGACACTCCCAAGAGCCTTTTCCTAGTCCTTGTAATATATTCAGCTCTTGCGTGCACATAGGTGGAAGACCTTGGTCGAGGTGGATTGCTGAGGCCCTCGGCAGTTACATCTCCAGCTCTCTCTAAGCGAAGAGATGTTAACAAGTATTCAAATCTGTTCTCGTCAATGCATTGATGTGTGTAAGCCTTCTTCACTTCTCTGATTGCGATCCTAATGAAGACTTGAAAACTAATGGGGTAGTACTTGGTCAATGTAAAGCCCAGGACCAATTATCACTATTATACTATATATATATAATGTTTCATAAATATAATTTATATTTTATTTTAGCACTAGGATAAATTATTAGTAGTATTGTCTAGGCTGGAAAATCTAGAAGAAGCTAGGTGCCTATGGGAAGTTGGGCTGCGTCAGGAAGATGGTAAGAGCTTTGCAGCCCCATGTGAATGGATGGGGGTTGTTTAGGAAAGAGAGAGAGAAGCCAGCTGGAAGCACAGAGATGGGCAGCATGCTATTAGGGGAGCACAGCATACCAGCTGGCAAGGAGGCCCAGAGAGGCCCAGCTCTGACAAGACATAACTTCATACTGTCTAGGCAAGAGGAGGCACAGAGTACAGTGGACTTTTGGTACCCACAAAGAGACCTTTGGTACTCTGCAAAGAATGCTCCATGGAGGACAAACCACTCATGCTTAGGATACACAGAGGTCAGTTCTGTACTGTGGATGTTCCATTCATTCTCCCTTAACACCATCCAACCTCTGCTACAGACAGACATGTCAGCTTTGAACACACCTCCAATTTCCGCTCTTTCCCTTCGATGAAGCACATTCACTTTGAGCTTGCTTTGGGGGGTACCATTTTTGGAGAAACAGATTTTCACAGAATTAAGGGCAAGGAAGCACTCAACAGGTCACACAATGATTTATACACAACTCATGATAACTCAGGACTGCCCAAGCAGGTCCACTGCGCGAATGGAAATTCAGAAATACCTTCTGTAGTAACTTCTTTCTGTTGATTTCTACCACACCTAGTCAAAACCACATGTTACGAATCCACAGATGAGCTGGTTTCATGACACCATTTGCAGCCAAGGGTACACGTCCATGTCGGAGCCTCCCTGACTTGGGACCGTGCCTCTGGCAGCTGCGTAAAGGGTGGATGAAAGAACACAAGGCAAGACCTGAAATCAAGGACATTGTCCTCACAGTGTGGGTCAGGATGGATAGGAGTTTGAGCGTGGCTTTCAGTTAGAGGTTTGGAAGAGGGAAATAGAAAGATGTTTAGAAGGCATTAGTCAACTCTGGTGGAAGAACATTCAGGTAGAGAAGAAGTTCACAAGTACTACCAGGCTTCTTGAATGGCCAAGGCCTAGAGGGGGAAGCCTGGTGGAAGGGTTTCTGAGTGCAGTTTAGGACGGGGCTAGTCTTGAGTCTCGGTATCCTGAGATCTCTCACCGGGAGCATTAGTGTGTTCTCTCAAGGCTCAAGGGTGTGCAGAATTTGTAAACCATGACTGTACCAAGAGATGGAAGCTAGGGAGGGAAAGTAGGGGATGCCCTCCAGAGGCTGGGCAAACTGCACAAGAGGGGTTTCCCCTCCCATCCCCCACCCCTGTGGAGCCTCTCCTTCCTGGCACCTTGAGCCTCCAGGGAATGCTCAGGAAATGGAACAGCGCCCAGCTCTGAGCACTCAGAGACATCTTCAACAGCAGCTGCTTCTCTAGTATGGGCAGCTGTTCTCAGCCCAAGGCAGAGGAGGCCCTCGCTGACACTCTGACCTGGTTAGGGCAGCCAGGTCCTATGGGCTCCTGGAACTAAGGGCCAACATTCAAGTAGAGGCAATGCAGGGTGGAGCCTCCTCTCTAACCCCTCCCTTCCCTCTGAAGGGCTAGGAGGCATTCTCTGGGATTCACAGGCCACCGTGAGCACCAAGCTAAGGCGATCTGCAGCAGTGTTGCCATATGGCCCACTAAAAACACGCCTCCCAAACTCACGAGGGATGGTAGAGGCTGGCTATCCAGAAATGGCAAGACAGCTTGGTCCTTGCTTTCCAAGGGTAAGGATGTAGCTTGTCATTCTGATTTCAGAGTTTACCCTATACCACTGAATTTTTTTATTTTATTTTTATTTTTATTTTTTTGTCAGTTGTGGGGCTTGAACTCTGGGCCTAGGCTCTGTCCCTCAGCTCTTCAGCTCAAGGCAAGTGCTCTACCACTTGAGCCACAGTGCTACTTCCGGTTTTCTGAGTGGTTTATTGGAGATAAGAGTCTCACAGACTTCCCTGCCTGGGCAGGCTTTGAACTAGGATCCTCAGATCTCAGCCTCCTGAGTAGCAGGCTTACAGGTGTGAGCACTGGTGCCCAGCTACCACTGAATTTTTTTTTTCAGTGGCTTTGGGCAGGCGGGTAAAACATGGGACATCCACTTCTAATCACCTTCTACCATCTGCTATCCAGACCTTCAGAACAAGTGGCTTCCTAGACTTACTCAAGCTCAACTCTTGGGTTTCTTTTGTTTTGTTTTGTTTTTGTGGGTGTTTTGTTTTTGGTTTTGTATTGGTCATAGGGTTTGAACTCAGAGCCTGCGCACTGTCCCTTAGCTTTTTTTACTCAAGTCTGGCATGAAGCTCAACTCTTAATGCAAGCCTCTGGACTTGATTTGTTGTTATTTTTTTTTTTTAAATAGCTGGGCATGGTGGGACATGCTTACTGTTCCTGAACATTGGGAGGACCAAGATTGGAGACCAGCCCAGATGAGAGTTAGCGAGATCCTATCTCAAAAACAAGCCAGCTGTGGTGATTTATACCTGTGGTCTCAGATACTTAGGAAGCAGAGGAAACAAGATCTCAGTCTTAGGTTGGCCCCGGCAAAAAGTAGGAAGCCCGATGTGAAAAATTAGAAAGAGAAAGACTGGATTATGATTTTAAGTAACGGAACACTTGCCTAACAAGTGCAAGGCCCTGAGTTTAATTCCCAGTACCAACAGAAGTAAGTGAAGTAAAGCAGAAAAGCAAAACAGAACAACAACAACAAACATGACTTTTTCCCCTTCAGGGTATATGTCATGTCAGGAAGAGCTAGACTTGTGGAAATGTCTCAGAGCCTATAGTTTGGCTTTTGACTATGTTCTAAAGAGTTTAGAAATATTGAACTTCTGAAAACCGACTTCCAGAGTGTTTAGAAAAACATTGAGAAGAATGGCCCCCCGAAAATGTTTAAAAAAAAAAAAAAAGAGCAGCAAAGAATGTTAAAAGCAAAGTTGAACCATGTAATGTCTGCACATTCCCAAGAACAATGACCCTTGCTTGTTGATACGGTACTTTTAAAAATATGAGGAAGCCAAGTATCAGTGTCTCACACCTGTAATCCTAGCTAGGTAGGAGGCTGAGATAAGAGACTCTCAGTTCTGAGCCAGCACAGACAGATAAATCTATAAGAGTGTTATCTCTAACCAACAAAAAAGCCAGAACTGAAGGCATGGTCCAAGTGGTAGAGTACTATCAATGAGCAGAAAGAATAGAGCAAGAGTATGAAGCCCAGAGTTCAATCCTCCATCCCAACACACACACACACACACACACACACACACACACACACACACACACACACACACACACACACACACACACACACACACGAGACTGTGAGGACCCTAAATGGTATCTGAGGATAGGTTGAAGAATTGTTGATAAGCCATCAAATAGCTTCTCATTAGTTCTTAGGAAACCCTACTTCAGTGTTTCACCCAATGACATTTTCCTCCACCTTCTGCCTCCTCCCCATTTCTGAATTCTCACTCTAC